CCCCCCCCCCCCTTCCCTCACCTATTTGAACACAGAGACATAATAAATATCTTATTCACCTCATTTTCAAGATCCGTACAGTAAGGTACGAAACCTCGTTTTTTCGGATTTGTGGCCCGCGCTTCTCGCTTGGGCCATAATTACAAGGGGAAAAACTCGGTCCGCAACTCAAGTACGGACCTCAAACTCGGTTAAGATGTATTTCATGCGCTTCACCATTCGCTTATGTTTCTCTTGGGATTCTGACATTAAGAAGTGTTTCTCCACTAATTTTTTTTCAAGTTAGTTTTTCTTTATGAGCGTCGTTGGGGTCTTTTTTTTTAATTTGCTTCGGAAAGACCATAAAGTTGATAAGTGATGTATGTGAAATTATGTGTTTACTATCGAAGAAACATGACATTTTACAATAACACTTGCATTTTAAATACCAAAACAAACTTTTTTCAAATCAAAAGTTCATTGTTTTGATCAGCTGATTGGCTGAAATAAGTGATTTTCGGCTGAGTAGCCAAAATTAATGTTCTGTTTTACCTGAATGTTAAGAGATTTGTTTTCTCGTTTGATAAGTTTTATACAAGAAGTTAATGACTATTTCAAATCCGGGGACTCTCGCCCCGTCATCAAGTAACATCAGATATGTAGGGTGTTTACACCCAAAAGTCACGTCAAAGGGAGGTTTCATTCTGATATGAGTGCCTGAAAAATGGCAGTTGTAATAATGTTGACATGTAGATTGGCATGTACATCGGGTGACCTGTAAACTGACGAAACAGCTCGTGTTCGGTGAACTATACTGAACATTTCGTATTCGTTTGAAGTAGTTTCCGTTCAAGGCAACATCTCACTGTTTTCTCTCCTCCGAGCATCATGTTTGCTTGCTGTCTTTTCATGGCGGTGTTTATCTTCACAACGGCTCCTCTATTTTCTTTAGGAAACAACGTTTCAACGGGCATTGGATTTAGTGAAATATTCCAGAATGCTCCTCGTAGCCATTTCCAAAGCAAAAAGATTTTGACTTCAATGGATGTCCCAGCAGCTTTGATGAGGTTGTACCGCAAGTATGCCAAACAAAATCAGCATGTTGGAAGAAATTCCGAGAGGCCTGATACATTCTATTGTTACGTCGGGAAAGGTAAGTGTTTGTAATCTAATTTCAAATAGTCAGTTTAACATACGTTCAACGTAATTAGCATGTTTAGTAAAGCTTCTCTTGCGTTTAGAATCCGAAAAAAACCCTGGGTAAGATGATAAAATTTTAGCAGTCTTCCAGTTTGACCATCCAAATCCAACTTTGCTTTAAAATTTAGGTTCGAGAAATAAACTGAACGACGTTTGAAGCCGCCTCCACTTCCCTGTTTCTCTCTTCTGTTTTCTCCCATATCGCGAATTCGATTTATATGCCATCGGAATTCGCGTTGGTTAGAAGGAAAAGGAATTCTATATTAACTGTACTCAGAGAAGTTTACGACACACATTTCTTCTCTACGTCGTTCGATGAAACTTGCACTACGTAAGCGCGGACAATACCTTGAAGAATAATAATTACATAACAGCTAAACTCGTTCTTGAAGTTTTTCAGTGTCATATGTCTTCTTCGTAACACTGTTAGTGAGTGTAAGTCGTCACCTTGCACACTGGTGTCTCGTGAAGATTGTTGCAAAGATTTTGTTCAATACTTTAGCGTTGGGTGAGAGTCCCAGATCCGCAAAGAAAGAGCTCGCCTAAGCTCGCCTAGAGTACCCTCCTCTTTCCGTTCATTTCGCTTTAACACTTTAACACTTTTATAGTTTATTAGGACTTAAGTTTGGCGTAGCAGTTTTCAGCTCTCGAGTAAAGCACGTTCCTATGCTTGCATCGCACTTGGAGTATCTGGTCTCGATACTCGCCTGAAACTAAACAATTGTTGCCCCTCGTTAGTTACCTTATTTCAGAGACATAAACATTATCCCACGAGTAAATAAGAAATACTAATCCCACGAAATCAGATCCTACTAAAAAAGCAGCAGATCACCTCAGTGTTTTCAGTCACGAACTAATTTTCGCGCATCGTTCAGCATTTAAAATGGACGTCGAGTAGTCCTTGACTCGTTGCGTAATTCGTCGCGCAGAGGAACTGAAATTGATAAAAAATTATAATTCCGACGCGCCGTGAACTATGGAGTAATTTTTGCGCCGATTCCCATTGATAATGCAATGGATGACGATAGGAAGGAAGAACTAATAGTTGTCACCATTTATAGAAACAAAAATTAAACACCGGAGCACAGAGTACCTCGTCTATTTTTGAAGAAAGAATTAGCTCGCAAAAGGTCAGTATGAGGGGAATTTAACTCTGACCCTCCCGTATCTAAAAAAAAAGGAAGAAGAAAAAAAAAACGGAACTACGGTGTAGAGTAACACGCCTTTTTTGAGTACTTTGTTCTAGTAATATTTTCGAAGCAATCAGTTTAATTAACCTTATTGTTTACGAAAGTGCCTATTAATCAAACTTATTGTCCGATCCTCAGTCAGTCAGTGATACAGCCTATATCTTTGCTTTTATCGCCGCCAAAAAAAGATTCACTGATCTCTATCCAGTTCCTGTTTTCGTCTAGCTGGGCTCAACTTTCTTCACAATTTCCGGTTTGGAAAATTTTTACGATAATATCACATGCCATCGTGTAAGGTTCGTGTTCGTTGCGTGTCATTCTGTTTCATTGCTTAGGCTACTGCCACGAATCATCATTACCCAGACTTCCGGAATAGACCCGAAAGGGTACAAAAAGCTATTAACCCATTTATTTTTGGAAATACACGCAACACCTTCCAAATGGAACGTTTCAACTGGAATCTTAAGTCCCGTCCAAGCAGCTGAACAGAAGGCAGATGTTAAAAGGATTTAAGGAATACGCCGGAAATATTTTGCCCTTACTCTCTGACTCCGGCGCAAGGTTTATTTAATGTTGGAAAAACACAGTTTCGTGACCGACCTCACTGTGATGTTTTTTGTAAAAGTGAGAGGTCAGTGTAATGCACGGGAATGGAGTCTGGGAACAAACGTACAGCGGCATTTCGCATAAGTATTCAAAATGGCGGGTGAGAAAGTCGAAACGAAAACATTGATAAAGATGCCACAAATATAGACGTGAAAGACAAGGTTTGATTGAAATTTTAATTGTAACGCGTAAAAGATAAATTTAACCCTCATTGGAAATCAGTGAGTCCTCAGTCCAAAAATTTTAGTTTTTTTTCAGTTTTGTCCGTGATATGCGCTATCAAATTGTTATCTAAGAAAGTTTAAAAAAGTGTATCACTAACGTGACCAACTAATTAACTTCAGATGAAGATGTTTCAAATTATTTAGGAGAATCTTCTTCAGCGTCAAACGAAGTTTTTATTCAGTTTCCAATGTCTCCTTAAAACTTCTTTTAATTTTTGTACGCAGGCCTCCCTGGAAACAAAGGAATTTTCTTCAATCTGAGTTCCTCTCAAATTCATACCAACAAAATAGTTCAATCAGCCGAGATTCTAGTGACAGTTGAACTACGCATTGGTCCTATCCCACCCCTCTTCTGGAGTGGTCACCTTATTCTGTTCGATCAGTTTGACTGCAAACCTGTGTATTCAGTCAAGATTCAGGGGGGAGGTTTGAAGTCTATTTCGTTCCCTGCCCACTCCTTGGTGAAGCGATGGATTAGCTCCCCTCATCTGAATCATGGAGTCTACATCAGTTTACAGGGAGACCAAGCTATGGATGAAGCTTCCTTCGGAGTGATATTTAATGATACTAGTGCAGGAGAGTATGGTAGACCACTGTTACTGGTGCAAACACAGTCCAAGACAGAAGAAGAGGACACTTCATTTTCTCAGAAACGGTTGTTAACATTTGCTAAATTTATCGTTGTGACTTCTATTTTATTCCCATATTTCCCATAGAATGACCGTTTAGAAAGGGGGAGAGGGGGTGGGTATGGCTGGAACTCTGAGATACTCAGGTAATACTGTGCATGATTACTCTCAGATGCAGTCTAAAACCCATAATCTATTCTAGGCTTGGTATTTTCTATTGTTGCTCTGGAATGTCTTTTTTATGCAATTTCAAAGTTTCCAATGATACACAAGCTACCCCCCTTAACTCACATATGCATTATGATTTGACAGTCAGGGTAAAAAGAGTCTCATGTCACCAAAGCCAAGACCTCCCCGCTCCATCCAAGACCAATTACCTTGCTCCCGGCATCCTATGCGAGTTGAGCTTCGTAAGACTCTGAGGTGGAAACATGTTGTCATTCCCCAGTTCTATGAGGCTTACAGATGTGCAGGAGCTTGCAGATTTCCACTGGGCACAAATGTAAGTTTCCTTCTCTCAGTAGGTAGAAAATATGCTTCTGCTCTATTGTGAGCTCTTGATCTTAATATCTTGGGAATAAATTAAATCTACCATGGCTTTCCATGCCTTCAAGACTTAAGTGGAGTCAGAGGGAAAGTTTTATTTCAGTGTTGAAAGTAAGCTGGGATCAGCTCTGCTTTTACTCAACTACACTCTGTGATTTGTTTAGAAGAATCTCACTTCTCTCCTCACCACTCCAGTGCAAAATTAGCCAGTGTGAAATGCTTGAGGGAGCTCCCAGACACATTTGTGATCTAATTGCATTTGATATTATGGAAAGTAAAATCTATAATCTGAGGTTCAACAAAGGACTTCTCTGAGAGGATATTCATGAGTCTTGCAAGATATACAGTTAATTCTGTACGATATGGTACAGCTATAAATCACCAACGAGTCTTCACTCTGCCCTCGTTAAAATCTATTTTACACAATATTAAACAGAAAAGGAAAATTAGTTTGATGACAAACGTCCATAATTGTAGCTCCTACCTTACCTTTTACAAGGTCTGCACGTGGACAACTCGGAATAATATGGTGGAAATATTCAACAGTGTGCAAATCAGGTTAAAGGGAAAGTATAGTTAAAAAAGTTTTCCGAAATAAAAAAATTCCTAAATTGCATTGTCGTTACTGGCCTTTCATTTGGGGAAAAACATTTTGTTGCGATTAATCCCGTTCCAAAAATCGACATTTTCAAATGGAAAATCGCCATCTTTGTTATGACGTAACGGTTACGTAGCAATAGTCAAGCATGCTGTCTTCAACCCCTGCTGAGATGGATGTAAACAAAGAAAACAGCGGCGAGGAGAGCCCTACTGATTGAATTCTCAACTTGGATTTTAATCCGGAGAGGGTAATGCTTCATTTAAATTTCAAACGCAGAAGAAACCTCTGCCAACGAAGAAGGTCAGGAAAACCAGTTTCAAGTAGAAACGTAGACCCGCTTAGTCACTCACGTCGTGGAAAACGCTAGTGGTGCTCTTACGATAACTGTCAAGAGAAGTATGATTTTAGTGCGGCGGCAATTTTTAATGTAAACATTGTTTGACAGAGGAGACTGTTTGGCGCGCATCGTAAATAATGAAGCTTTGCTTCACACAAGTCATAACATTTAAGGGCCTGTTTACATGGAGGTGGGGGACCCCAGGTTGGTGAGGTATCCCGCCTAGGTGGGGTAGCCCGCCTGTCCATATAATTTCTTATTTTATCCTGATCACGTTTACATGATAGGTGGGGTGACCCGGCTAGGTGGGTTTCCCGGTCCGCCAGGTGGGTAACCCTGTCAGCCGGGGTGACAATTTGCCATGTAAACGTCTCAAGGTGAGGTCATTCAGTGAAATGAATCCGTTGTAGGCACTGCGGTCTTCTTTAATAAAATAACAATCACTCGAGAGCTAGGGTTTTTTCGGGGAAAAGCATATTTTCTTTGGGTTTGCAGGGGTTGGCAAGCTGCCCTCGCACGTGATTTTTGTTCGCCATATTTTCTTTGGTATTTCACTTTCCGTTAGCTTGTGGAAGCTTACATCTTTTCTTGTTTTATTTTAATATGTATTTTGAGATTCAACCATAAGACAGTTCACCATAGTTCGACTATTCGAAATTCTTGACACAAAGGTCAAACAGGTCAACAAGGATAATGCGTTGACTATTGCTACATTATGGCTGACGTCATATCAAAGATGGCGTACTTCTAGCTGCGAAAGTTGTAAATAATGGCAACTTCAAAGCGCTCTTGTCGCAATTACAAGGTAAACTGTACAAAACGACGGTTATTTTCGAACTCCTGAGGAAAAGTTCTTTTATTAGTGACAAACTTTTTCTAGAACGTACTTTCCCAACGTTCAGGAACAGAACAATTTTGCTTTGACGTCACTCTCAAGTAAAATTCAATTGGTCGTAGAATCTTAGTTTATTTAACCCAAACACAAGTGTTGCTAGGCTTCAGTGACATTACAAATCTGTCTCTCATGGTGTCTGATGATGAACTTACACATTTACCATCAGGTGAACCCAACTGACCACGCCATCATTCGGGCAACTTTGTTTTCAGCCGGAAAAGACAAAGGAACTGGGAAGCCCTGCTGTGTTCCTGTTAAGTTACGGGGCATAAGCGCCATCGAGTACCGAAATGGCGAATTTCAAATGCTCTACCATGATGATATGGTTGTTCAGCAATGTGGATGCCGCTAGTCTTACGAATCTTGCCTTAGTATTAGATGAAAACGGGCGTAAACGGCCCAGGATTGTGTAGAAGTCTTGGATCGTTTTCGTTTAAGGCACACTGTCGATATGATATAATGAACCAAAAAAATGTTGACATACTGTATTTGCCTATGCACATTTGACGGTCTTCAAGCTTACTAGAGGGCCTACACAGAGTAGATAAGCGTATTTTAATTCAAAGGAATATTATATAACCCATTGAAAAAGTACATATTTTAATTAAAATCTTGTGATCGACGGAATTTTCAAATAAAAAAAATTATAAATTTTTATTTTTGCCAACAAAAATTACCAAATGTCTTTATACGCTAGTATATCTGTTTTTTGTTGTTGTTGCGGTTTTTTTTTTCAATGAGTAGACATATTTTTAAACTTTAAAGTTAGAGATCAGTTTTTTTTCCAAAACTGACTTCCCACTGTAATAACATATATCTTCAAACCCGTTTTCAAAAGCTTGCAAATTTGAAAATACATATGAAATATGTATATTAAATTATATAATAAGCTCAGTTATGCATGCATTCTGATTGGTTCTCACTTATGATCTCTTAGAGGACAGACGTATAGATGACGTCATCATTAAAACTTTTTTTTCCCCGTATATTTTAATTCTTTATTATATAAAACAAATAGATTCCAAGTTGCCGTGCGTCTGTTCAGTAATAGATCAAAATGCGGTAAGAACATCAGTGACACACTCGGCTGCGCCTCGTGTGCTACTTTTTTGTTCTTACCACGTTTTGACGTCATCTGTGATCTATTACTGAAGAGACGCACGGCAACTTGGAATCTATTTGTTAAAGAGACACTTTGATGAGAAAAGAAAAAGTATCTATATATATTTTTAAAATTTCAAAGTTCCTGAAGACTGGTTTATATAACATATGTATTTGAATAAAAATGTTCTCACTTAACATGCTTCTGAAGTTGGTCTAGGAAGTGCTTGGTTCATATGACAGATGGACATACTGAAAGTTTGGTTCCTCGCAGCTCAGTGGGGAGAGCATTGAACCATGAGTGCCGGCCCAGTCAGGGGATTCTTAGCTTGGAGGACTTGTCTTCGGATTCTTTTTATGTGCATTTCTTCTTTATTCTATTTTATTTTGTTTTTACAGTCCATTTTATACTTCGTTTCTATCCATGTGATTGAAGAAATGTAAAATGGTTTCCGTGTTAACATAGCCTGATGTAAACACGCGTGAGGTTGGGAGAACACGAGGTAAGCGTGGGAAACCACGACGCGAAGCAGAGTGGTTTCCAGCTTATCGAGTAAATAACTAATGAAAGAGGAACGAGAACCGTGTTTACATACGCTCATGTAAAATGGTTTTATGGCCAATCAGAGCGCGCGTACTATTTGAATTATTTTATAATGGAAGTTTAGTTTTTTTTCCTATGCCCTAAAACTGATGCATCGCCACACGACCTAATTTCAAGAGATTCTTGTCGTCCTATGGAATAACTCCTATGCTTGTGGGCTTGATCTTTGCATTGTGTAGGACACCTAACATACGAGTTTAAAATTTACTCGTAAATATTGATAAGTTCCCCGCAGCTCAGTGGGTAGAGCATCTGACCGCACCATGTTGCGGTCCG